CACAACAGAAGTAAAGAGTGTTAAGGCTTGATTGAATGAATATTCATCCTGCCCACCTTCCTTAAAAATACAAATACAGAGGTTTCACTTTAACAAAAACATAACAAGATTGTGCATGTTGTTATCACTATTTCATCCAATAAAAAACTAGAAATATTTGTTAGGTTAGGGTTCATTTGTTTGCTTGGGTTTTTTTAGATTTTTTTTCCCTCTGGGGAACAAGTGTGCATATTAAAAATGTACAAGTTGCCACAAATATTTCTGAACTCATCTTAAATGTTACTGTATTCTTTCTTGTTTTCTATAAACTTTTTTTTTTCTCTCATTGACAATTCCACTCTCTTTTTTGGGGGGCTGTTTCAGAATATAGCTGGGAATACAGATGCCTCAGAAATCATGCAGGCATAAAAGGTAATTAAAATGTACATTATTAAAATGCCAAAGGATGTTGGAGGGTCCTCTCCTTGTAACTTCTGATTGATTGTACCAACAAGGGCAACATAGGTCGAAAGAACAGAAAACCAACAAAAAGACCCCGCGACGAATCTTGAAGTTGCCAAATAAGAGTATTACCCCAAACCAGTCACCTCCTAAGCTCAGAAAGACACAACTATACCATATCACACCAACAAAGTTTCCTTCTCAGAAAAGTTATCCTTGCTTATTCAACCAAATACAGCAACACACACACTGGTCTGCCAAGAATTCCTGTGCATTGTTCTTTATCACACATTAAACTTAATACCATAGCTTTAATATCTACATTATAGTGTTGTGCTGAGAAAGCAGTGGGTACCTCGCCCCTGCCAAGTGAATTTTTGAAAAGATAAGCAACTTGAAAAATCTTGGAGGTGAATCAGAACTTTCTTTCTCAAAAAAGATCATAAATTTTGGACCTAAGAGGTTAAATACAACTTATGCCAAAACTTTATGATAAAACCTGCTCATAGATATTAAAGGACAACAGCCCAGATCCTCTATTTGAAAACAAGAAACTTCCTTTTATAAGGTGGATATCAATAAATTGCTTGGTGCTTTAAAAGATCTTTGAAGAAATAATTGATTACAGTGTATCCTCCCCATAATTAACCCCCTAGGTAACCTAAGTATTTCAATTAATGGAAATTTTATCTGCTAAGCTATTAAAGCAGCGCGAATGAAAAGATATAATATCATAATGTTCCTCTAAGATTAGCTGACAGAAGTTATTTGTGGGAAAATTATTAAAATTGTTAATTTACCACTAAAAATAATCCTGAATCAATGATTTTTTAAAAAATCTTTCGATTTCATAGTATCTTCAGTTTGGTTAGGATGCCTTACACCATGCCTGTAGAGCACAGTGGAGCTCAGTACTGAAACTTCCCAGCCAGGTACACCAAGGTTCAGAAGTTAAGCAAAATGGGGGGAAAAAAAAAAAAAAAGGCATAAGGCATGATTGCTATTGCTAGGTCTTTTCACTCCCAGGTTCACCATACTGTGCCAAATGACTACATGACTACAAAATCCAAGCTGGTCCAAAGAGTCAATTCAGTTATTTGGGTGTATATCCCATTCCCTTGCAATGTTGCCTCCAGGAAACAATGTAGATAGAACTAAAAAAAAAAAAAAAAAAAAAGCTAAAAAATCCTCCCACTCACACTGTCAACATGCCCTTTATCTGCTACTGACAGCCCAAATGGGACAAGACATTCAAACACACCCCACCCTGCCAAGTCCCATGAGTGCAAGTCTTTTGCCATTTGGGAAGTATGACCTCTGGCAGACTACTTCTAAAAAAGTATTATTATATTAAAGGACTGGATACTCACAGAAGTATGAATCAGCAATCAATTTATCAGCACACTCATGAGCTTTTTCTCCAAGACATGCAGTAATTTCAAATTTCAGAACTAGAAGCTAGAAGTAGTTCCACATCTAGTTAGATGTTACCTTGTGAAAGCTTTGTTTTTCAGCTGACAGTAACAATTTTTTAAAAAGCATGCTACTTCATTTAGCATTTAAGAGGAATGTAGGGTAATTAAAGACTATAATTTCAGCATTCAAAAGCCTTATCAGAAGACCACTTAGTTGTTTTAAGGTGACAGTCACAGTAAGATTTAAAACACTCTGCATACCTATTTAACTGAAATTAACACATTACTTTTTAAATAAAACTATGGATTCATAAAAATAAGGCCACATAGCACTACAGAGGAGAGGTGCCCAGGTGGGAGTAGAAATAATACCAAATCTATTACAAAAGGCACCTACTTAGAAGTAGTTTGAAAGACACTTCTCAACTACACAGCAATATGGAGATACTTAATACTAGAACAATAAATACTCAAAGATAGATCTGTTCCTGTTTTCTTTTTTTCCATGTAATTTTCTCCTGTACAGCCTGTCAGATCAGTTTTCACTACTGCTAACAACTTTAATGAGCAGTAAAAAGAACACTTAAATAAAAAACACCAAAAAGGAAGGCTTAATGAAAGACGTAAAAACATACTACCAACTACTTTCTTGGAGTAAAGCAGGTTATATTTGTAACCAGTAAAATAAGAAGGAAAAAAAAATTAGTAATTAATGGAATTTTTAAAAGCCATTATTTTACAAGCTTCCTATCAGCAGTGTTCCTCTAAAATTATAGGTGATATGAACCAAACTTTTGTAAAAACAACTATTTTCAAAAGTCTTGACATAGAAATGCAAAAGTACCAAAAGCTAAACAGCCAGTTAAACAAAAGTAACATCTTGACAGTTACATTGACTTAATTTCTATCCCATATAATGATATATTAGAACACACTAACACAAAGAAATCTAGAGATTTGATTATACAGACATAAACAATAAAGACTATTATGAATAGAAGATAAGCAAAGTCTTGATGAAAATCAGTATTTTCAATCTGGTGATGCTTCAAAACTTCAAATGAAAAATCAATTTCTTAGAAGCCTCAGACTTTGAAGTTTAAGCGCCATAATCCTTAATAATATATTTCTTGACTTGATTTTATGTTTCCACTGAAATTAACATTTCACCCAAAATGCTACTAGAAAACTTAGATGCAGTTATAACAATCACATACTAAATTTAACCAAGTGTTACTGTGTCAGCTTCCATACCACTTGTCCAAATGATAGGTAACAAGTTAGCGGAGATTCACACTACAACCTGAGGTAAAGTCAGAAGCCTAAAAAGACTAAGCTCGTTTTTATAAGTGAAAACGGCTTAACAAACAACATATTCAAATGAAAATTTTAACAACAAAGGAAACATGAAATAGCGTACATATAAACATTATTTTCAAAGTGTTTCCAAAAAGGAAATCATTACAAAAAGAAACAGGTTTTTAGCTGGCAATATCAATATTCTCTTACAATATTTTTCTACCTCTTCTCCCTCACTTTCTTACTCTATCTCCCACACTTCTGGTTGCACAATCCTTGAAACATCAACCATGTCTTATATGACTAGATGGTATCTTCACATTACCAGACAGGGTAAAATTGGCAATTTTCCATCTCTGTTATCTTCTCAGTAAGTTAGGACAAGTTAATAGAACAACAGCAAAAGGTCGCTAGAGTAATATTAATTTTAATGTCATAAATATCTATTTCATGCACAACTAAGAGGGGGAAAAAAAAAAATGCTTGAAAGGAATAATCACCAAAAAGGGAAAACAGCATACTATGCAGAGAACTAAGTGGAACAGTGAATGCCAACAAAAGGCATACCAGAGGGTGAAAGGGGCACAGGGAATATTTCAACAGCTAGCCTTGGCAAGGAGAGCAAAAGCAATAAAGCTATCCTCAAATGGCAAAGAAATTCTAAATTATAACTTGCTTCCAGCCAAATGTGTATATACCACATATACAATCCTCTTCCAGTAAAGAAACATAAGGGGATAATTCTGAAAAAGCTGAAATATTTTAGGTAAATAAACATCTAGGCACCTAAATCCTTGGCCATTTTGGACAAGTTTAAGATAATCTATTAGCATCTATCTAGCACTCAAAAAAGAGAATAAAAGTCCTACTAAAAAAATAATACGCTCTAGAGAAAAGCTTGTATTAAAACACATGACGAACATGTGTCGGAGGACTGAAGACAGCTTTGCCCAAAAGCTCATGTGGACCAAACTTTACTCACTTTTCAAAGACTTAATTAGAACTTTTTAACTGTAGCAGTTAGTCTGCTGAATAGTCAGACACTTTCATGAATTAGGGAAGTTTTATTAGTTTGCCACTTGCTAGAATTAGAGAAATTAAATACCAACATCAGCAGAAATAGCATTCACTGCTTTCTAAATGAATCTTAAATCTTCCATTCTATGAGCAAAAGCCATGTATTACTTGATTTACACACAGCACAGGTCTCATATCCATATGTCTTATTCACTTAATTAGGATTAGTCAACTTTTAATGGACGTGTAAGTTATTTCAGGTAGGATACTGAGTGTTCATGGGAACAGATGGATGTCAGTTTCAAACAAATACTCTACAACTATGTATAAATTAAAAAGTAAGCCTTCTTAATACAGCAGAAAGTTGGAGTTAAGGGAAGACATTGTCTTAGTTTACCTTTTACTTGAATTCTAAAGACAATACAGTATTTAGAAATTGTGATTTTGAGGCCTTATATAAACAAGGTTTTGCTCTCAATGCTAATTGCAGTACCTGAAATTCCGTTTAATTAAAATTTTCTACTGCTTCTCTCAAGCTTAATTTGTTTAGTATTTCAGTGTTCTGAAATCACACAGAAACAGAATACTTGGTATGTGAGAAATGCCTATATTTTAACACATTGTGTCCTCTTTCAGTTACACATAGTAGTATTAGCATAATATCCCAGACTATTTTCTTTTTTTTTTTTAACTTCTAGCTCCATTTGGAGTGAAAATTGAAAGAAAAAAATAAAAAAGAAAATGGCATAAAAAGCTACTTACTAGGTAACGAAAACACATACATTGCTAAAAGAATCTCAGACACTAAGTAATATGTAAATTATTTACCTTGGTTGCAATGTCAGCTTTATAACTGTCTTGTGTGGCAGAGAATCTTGGGAGGCCTGAACATCATCCTACAAGAGAACATCTTTGAATTTGCTTTTGAATACACTTAAATGGATAATATAGGAGCTTTCTCTACTTTATGAATTTTATGAAGTAGAAAACCATGTTAACAATACCATAAACCAAAGCCTATTTTAGCACATTACTCAGGATGACGAACCACTAAACTTCATAATCATAAATATTTCAGACTGACAAAAGAAAGAGGCTCAATTTAGCCAATTCATTGAGAAACACGTTTTCATTAAATGCCTTATTAGACTCCAGTATCAAATTTTTACCCATGTTTTAATTTCTGTATATAAGACTTCCTAATCACCAACTTCCTGTAAATTTTGCCAGCACTTATCATACATTTTTATTAACTTTACCTTGTTGTAAATTGAACCTGAAACACCACACTGCTGCATATTTATCACCAGGATTCACTGTCTAGTCTTCTATCTAGTCTTTTATCTCATTGTTGCCTTATATTGCACCAAGAGAAAAATTAAAAAAAACACCCAACATAATTTGAGGTGTGGTATGATTTTATGTGATATAAACTATGTGAAGAATTATTTCACAATATGGGTTCTTACTTTTCACTGGCTTCTCTCTTTTCTTAAATGCAACATGACCGAGGGCTCACTTCACTGAGAAAAGGTAGAGATAAGACATTGTTGACACTGCTGCATTAGTCTAAGCAAGAGAACAGCCAAGCTGTTGATGCACAGTGAATTCCTTTTAGTTCATACACTGCTGACCACTAAAAACTTTGAAATTGAAGTGCAAAGATCTCAGTTCCTCAAAACATCCTCAAAATAATGTTTTCCCAATCCAACAATTGTACTTACATGAAAATTTTCTTTCTGCAATTAAAGAAATAAGACTAATGTACAGGAATGATGCAATAGATGCACAGCTTTATTTTTACAGTTTAGATCTCATCCTATTGGTTGGGTCATTCTGGAATCTCTTCTTTCAGTGTATTATCTACAAATGATCTAGTTTTCATTTGTTTACTAATGTAGAGTCTGTAAAACTTAAATCACGAAGTAAAAAGTATTAAGTCATCAACTAAAAACCATGACATGTTTTTGCATTCAACTAATCATTAGAATAGTATAAAAAATGCAAGCAGTGTTATTATGGGGTCTTTCCATCATGCCTTATTTACAGCTTCCTTTTTTCTGGGATTCAAGAAGGGAAACTTTCTCCTGGTTGTACCTACTACCTGCTGGAATGCTACTGCTACAGTCCCATGCTCTGTTCCTCTATGTTATTTTTCCTTCTTCACCCCTCAAAAACAACATTCATTTTCAGTCTCAAAGTCTTCAGCATTTGTCTTCCTCAGCTCCCTTAACATTCATTCTGAATGTCCATCTCTAAGCAATTCTTGATGTTAGCTTCCATCAGCCACCAAATACCATCATTCTGTATTTCAAAACAAGTGCCTTTGAACTTTCTACTTGCTCAAGGTTTGCAAAGGGCCTTGTAAATATACTGAAGTCCTCCTGTTAGAAGCCTATAAATCCCACACTAAAAAGCTTTAGTTGTGATATGTGGTGTACTGCAGAGGTATAAGACTTATGATATGCTGCAGATACTGTTTGTCATACAGATAAATCATAATCTACTTATGTAATCTCCTTATTTTTTCCATTTTATATATATATATAATAAATTATTGAAATAAGAACTTTTATTTTAATTTCTGCTTTCACAGTGGTTATGATAGGTTGAATTAGTATGCTCCTAGGCTATATACAGTTCAAACAGCAATTAGGACTTCTGGAATGCACTGGTATTAATCCAGACTCATAAAGAACGGGAACCAAGAAAGTTTAGTATAATGTAACATCATGAAATCCTCCAATGTAATTCAGAGCAGAAGTAAAAACTTCATTCCATGAATGACTTCAAAATATTTTTACTTTCTGAAGATGCACATCCATTTAGCCTTTCCAAACAGGATAAAAATTACGTATTTCTGGCACACACCCAAATAGTACATACATGCAGCATGTATATATATATATATATACATATATATTTGTATAAAATTCATAAAAAGTATAAAGAACTATTTTAGCCATTTTTTTTTATATACGTATGACTGGAAGAGTAATTCAAGTACATGTTTTGTTAAGGTGCTCTTCACTGTAAAACAGGTCTCAAAATGAGACATGGGGAAACATTGCTGACTTTATCATCCATTTCATTGAACATTTTTGTTTCCCTGTTTCAAATAATTTCAGCTAAGGGAAAAAAACCACAAAGTTTCATCACGCAGGTTCAGCTTAGACTTCTGTTTGGGATAGAAATTTTCTTCTTCACATATTTTTTAAGTTACAAGTCAAATTATGGGACTGTCTACCATTATATATTCACTGACACATGCATATCCCTAAAGTCACCAAATTTATCCCCACAGGAAAATTAGAACACCTGGTTTTATTATCTAATTCACAAACTGAAACAAACTAACTCCCCTTGCTTTAGATGTGTGGGCTTTTTTTCAGCAATAACTGCTGAAATGTTTGCTTTTTACTTTCTAGTATCTTCAATTCATATAAAGAATGATAAGATTTTGAGAAGGGATTAGCCGCAAATTTAGTTCTGACTTTTGCAGGTCACTCAAACTGTAATGGAAAGGCATAGACCAGATTTAATTTTTGGAAAAAAATCAAGAAAGACAGCTCACCATCTTCAGGAATGGAGTTGATGCATCATAACTATAAGTACTTTTATCCTTTAGGATAAGAATATGAGTAGAGTCAATTATCACTTTCTTCAAGTTCATTAATGAATGGAAAAGCCTGTTAAAACATTTAAAGTCCTAATTAGTTTTAATTGCTTTTATTCAACATGGTAACATAAAAATTTAAAAATATTAACATTTATATTTAAAAATATCAACAATATGAGTTGCAGAAAAGCAAATGTAATTTTTATTATCAATATAGCATGAAACAAGAACAGTTAGTTGCAATGGGTGACCAGACTAAAAAAGGCAGGAACATTCTGAATTTCAGTACATTCCCGTCTTGCATATTGAAACTGAGGTAGATCTAACAGCTGTTATACTATAAAGGTTACACCCTCAGAATATTTTTTCAGGTACTTTTTCAAAATGCTAATCTTAGGAAACTCTGTGATTTATGTTTGATTGTTTGATTTCCAGTTTCTATAGCGGAGACAAGCCTGAGATGCTGGTCACAAAGTCAAGATTGCATTTCTGTAGGATTTAAAAAACAATCAGAAACACAAAATTTAAATTATTACTACATTTTCCACTACTTCAATTCACACAATGCTTACTAATTCTTAAATACAGAGAGCTGGGCAATTTTATTTGTAAAGTGAAAAAACTCTTTATTTTACTGTCTCATAACCAAGTTCACTGTGCATGCTGCCACTTTGATTACACCTATGCTTCAATAGATTATAACTTCATGGCATTTAAAAACACTTGTCACAAAATAGATTAAAATAAGAAGGAGCATTTGAGGTGTGTTTAAAACAATGTTTTAATTAATGAACATGCCATAGTATCAACTGTCTACCATCATCTACCTCAAGCAATCAAATTTCCTAGTTATTAACATTCCAATATGTAACAATTTTCTGAACAAACCCATAAATAAAGGATGTACATACATTGACATCCATATATCATACAATCTTCTTCAAAGAATTCAATGAAGCAGCTACCAGAATAATTTGTCAGTACTGAGACAGCAACTACCCAGCAGCTACAGCAACAATAAACAAAACCAGACATGTTAAGTAGGAAATTGTCAACATCAAAAAGATTTCCCACATTGAAGGAAGGTAGGTTACAGAGCATGTGGGATTTTCCAAGGAATATATGCTTAAATTAGCTTATCTCTTGATCATTGTTTAAGAAAGAAAAAAATAATCTCCTATACAACAGTTACAGCAAAAAATAACAGCAGTTACTAAAGAAATCTCAGTATCCCATCCACCTAGCTTTTATGAAACCTCAGAAAACTTGGATATCAAATTCCTACTTAGAGAACTTAAAAAAAAAATCATAAATGAAGACCATGGGGAATCTGATCCACTTCTCATGCAGTGCACCACTACGTTTTCAGTACACAGTATATTACTATATCAAATCTGTATCTCTGAAATAAACAGTTCTGCTCTAAAATGGCAAATGGATATTAAAATTTAAATTTATATATTTATCATAAATTACCTAGTGCCATAATCCACAACTACCCAATCTTTGGCTGTTCCTGTAATAGCGTCATGATGCTGAAAGAGTCCAAGGTTCCTCCTGGCTTCTGCTAGCAATTTGTAGTTATTCACTGAAGGAAACACACTCATCTTCTCAGATTTACTGGACTGTACCAAAGCCAAGGAGTAGAGAATTTCAGCTGCCCTGGAAATGCAAAGAATAATCAAGTATTTATATAGTGTTGAAAAGTAAAAAGCAACACACATTTTACCCAAAGGTAAAACCAAGGTGATAGAAAGTTATAATGCCTTTTTTTAAATTACTAGCACACTTAAGTTTAATCAGGGTGATTTAAATGTTGCTTAGTGTAAATTCCTACATCTATGCATCCTTCCTACTTTGTTTTATTGCAGTTTAAATTAAAAGGAAAATGAAAACATTTTAGTTGGAAAAAAGAAAAAAAAAGGCATCAGATGCACATTTATCTGGTGAATAGACCCTGTCTGGAAGCACTTTACCCTTTTTAAAAAAAAAATCTGAGTTAGCCCCTAAACACTGACCTAACTGTAGCTGTAAGGAGAAGAACACAAATCAAAATGAAGGTTAGATTTCCCTCCCCACCACCAACATCGATTTAATTTTATTTTCTATTAATGGAGAAGACTTAGATGCAGAATTTTCTTCTAAGGTCTCAATATTATTCTAAACATTACAATGGTCAGGATGGCAGACACTCAGAAACATAACACTGTATTAGCAAACACTTCAACTTAAAGGTTAGCATCTCTTGAAAACCTTTCCATAAAAGCTGTATAAAGCCTTGATTTTCTCACCTCTATTTTTAACTACTGCAGACCATCTAAAATAGTTTCCACAAATTTTCCACTTTGCTGTAATTTTTTACTATCTCCTCCTGGTAAGACACTGCAAATAGACCAAAATCTGCAACACTAGTTGCTAAGCCTACACTGCATTACCTTCAGGCCCAGTTTATATGTATCCTAAACAAATAATTTTTCCAAAAGTTCCTGAACTCTAAGATGTAGTATTTTCTATCCATCTGTACAGTTAGAAGTATCACTGCAGCATTTGTCCTGCTTCTGAATTACTTCAACAATCAGGGTTTTTGCAGAACTACTGTAACTTTCCCCTGCTTACATCAGTAAAGAATAAAACCACAGAATACGTTCCTAACTTGTCCCCAAATATGCTGTTGTTTCCATTACTTTAAACAAATGTTTGGTCACTGTTTTTATCACCCTTTAAACTACTTCTTCCATCTCTCATTTAAGAGTAAAAAATCCTTTATATCTCAAATCAGCAGTGATGTCAATCTCCATTACAAAATACTTAAGATTACATGCACTTTAATATATAAACCTGAAACTTCTTTAAAACAGGAAAAACCTAAAAACAAACAACTCTTTTCTTGCTTAAATGGTTACTTATCATATTAGGCCTTGAGGCTGAACACTGTTTTCTGATTATTAAGTAGCAGTGAAGTACTACTTAATTCTGATATTGCTGGAACTTAAAGGCATTTTTTCTTGGTAAAGAATACACTCAAACAAACCTGTTCATGGTTCATTCCCCCCCCCCCCCCAAATATATACATATACCCAAAATAGCCAAAAAATACTATGGAAAAATTAATCACAAGGTTGGAATCAGGTCTTGCTGATGCCTTCAGCAGTATTTGAGAACAATTAATTTGTTTAGAAAGAAAAAATACCATTGCATTTATGTGCATTTACTAGTAAAACAGATACACCAACAAATCCAAGACCTGAAATTGGGGGCTAATTAAGACTATTCTTACTGTAAGTGAACTTAAACACTGCATTTCAAAATCACTTCTCCATCTGTCCAACAGATTTAGAGGATGGTGCTGGTTTTGCCCGGGGTAGAGTTAATTTTCTTTCAAGTGCCTGGTGTGTAGGCTATGTTTTGAATTTGTGCTAAACACAGGGTTGACAACACAGAGATATTTTTGATATTGTTGAGCAGGACTTACACAGAGCCAAGGACTTTTCTGATTCTCATACTGCCATGCTGGTATGGGAATTTGGGAAGAGACACAGCTGGGACAGGTGATCCCAAATGACCAAAGGGATATTCCAGACCATACGGCACCATGCTGAGTATATAAAGTGGGGAGGAGGAAGTGGAGGACATTTGAAATGATGGTGTTTGTCTTCCCAAGTCACTTTTATATATGATGGGGTCCTGCTTTCCTGGAGACGGCTGAAAGCCTGCCCAGCCAGGGAAAGCAGTGAATTAATTCCTTGTTTCGTTTTGCTTCTCTGTGTGGTTTTTGTTTTACCTATTAAACTGTCTCTACCTATGAGTTTTCCAGCTTTTACCCTTTCAATTCTCTCTCCAGTCCCCCTGGTGGGAGAGTGGTTAGTGGGGTTTGGTTGCTGGCTGGGGTTAAACCATGACAAATACTCACAAATTCATCCCTCCTATGTGTCAAGAAATATGTTACAAATGTACTGGACAGCAGCATTTACCGTATGTAGGATTCCAGGACTCTATCCAGGCGCTTATAGAAGGGTCGTGATGTAAAGTATCCACTCCAGTAATGATGATCTCTGTCTGCATAGGTGAAGAAGTCTCCACTTAAAACAGGAAAAAATGAATTGCTGCTCTTTTCACCCAAATTGCTTTCTTTACGCAGAGCTTCAAAGTAATCTGATAAAGTTCCAAACTGGGCCTGAATGAAAATTAAAATTACTGTAACACGGTTCCATTTTCTTTATTTAGAAATACAAAGAGAATGCATATGCTTAGTTTTATACACATTCCAGAAATATGTCACTCTTCCAGCAGAATTATAGTAGAAATCCTATCCTAAAGATCTTTAAAGTTCCCCTGCACACTATTCAGACAAGCTGGATAGCTCTTCCAAAAGCATCTCAACGCAGTACATGAAAGATGGACCCATCAAAGCAGGTCGAGAAAGAGTCACAAAAATGATTCCCTACAAGTAAAAGCTGAGAGAATTGGGGTTGTTCAGCCGGGAGAGGAGAAGGCTCTATGGAGACCTTACTGCAGCCTTTCAGTACATAAAAGGGGCTTTTAAGAAAGATGGGGATAGGCTTTTTAGTAGGGTCTTTTGTGCTAGGACAGGAGATACTGGTTTTAAATAAAAAGAGGAGAGATTCAGACTAGATATAAAGAAGACATCTTTTAATATGAGCTTGGTGATACGCTCAAGGTGCCCAGAGAGGATACAGATGCCCCACCTGGAAACATTCAAGGTTGGATTGGATGTTACCCTCAGAAATCTGGCATAATTGAAGATATCCCTACTCATTGCAGGGAAGTTGGACTAGATGGCCTTTAAAAGTCCCCACTAACGAAAACCATTCTGTGATTCATGAAATAGAAATTTATTTCTTTTTTAAAGTATAATGAAGTATCTAAAATACCAGCTAACTGTCAATTCCTGTCTTTGAAGTAAGTCTTTAATACATGAGGTAAGTAATATCTCAGTATCACCTAAGTAGCTGTCTGGACTAAGTAAGAAACCTAAGGTAATGTAACAAGAATATAGTTGTTCTAATCCTGTGTTTTCAAAATTAACTCTCTTATGCTCCAGATCTTGCCTAACCCAAGATGAGTGTTGGTCAAAAAAACATTAGCATTTGCTTTCAGAAGCTTTTTTGGTCTGGCTTTGTGTTTTTATCTTTTAACTACATAAAAAGAAATTGTGTTTAGAGACAAAATCACTGTCTTTGGCTCATTTTTTTGAAAATGTTCAGACAGTGTAATAGCAGATCTTTGCAGGGCAGGTCAAAAGATGGTACCTTCAAGTCTGAGGAGAACAAACAAACAAACAAACAAAACACAGTATTGAAAAATGTTGTTATAGAAGGCCGAGATGGCAAACTGGATATTGAATGAAAATGAAAAAAAAAAAAAAGAAAACAGTTCAAAAAAGTTGGAACAGGACAGAAGATCACGTTACTGGAACTATCCTCATAACAACCTCTAAAGATAATACCTCAGATTAATATCAAGTCACTTTTTTCCTACTATTATTTTTTAACAAGCATACAATGTAGCTTGGTACAATTTACAACACCAAACCCAAGCTTTTAGGAAAAATCTTTTAAAAGTGACTTGGAATATAAGAACTATCACTGTGACAATAAAGACATACTTTCTTGTCATGAAAAAAAACCAAACAGTTTTACTTCAAAATCATTTATAACATCCAACTATCTGTTAGCTGGGTACAATATGAGAACTTGCCACTTCAAATGGCAGTAAAGCAGAGAAAGATAAATATTGCCTCAAAAATCCCATCATTACTAAACCTTGCCTTAACAGGCCCTTCTAGGACACTTGGTCTTTTTCATCACTACCATTAAGCACCTACAAGAAAGAATTCAGAAGAAAACGAGAAACAAAATCAATGCTCCAAGAGAAGTCAGACACAGGTGATCTCACTTCTGTAGGTTGCATTACATCAGAGGAATAAAACCTCACCAGAGGAAGCATCAAAGTCAGGTGAATTGAAACAGTGAAATAAGCTGGCAGATTCCTCCACTGACATACAAAAAGACTCAACCAAATTTATGTATAATATATGTAAAGGAGATCTCAGAATGGGAGATTGAACTCCCCAAGATCAAAATAGGTATCTTTCACAGAAATGTACTACATACTTTTAGAACTATAGAATAGCTGCTGGCAGAGAATCTCAGTGCTAACAGACATATCGACTAGATAAACACTTTAAAGAGCTGTCTGAAACAGTAAATCTCTCGTAAAATCAGAAAGGCAGAGTAGGCAGTCCCTTGTGTAAGTAGTAATATCCTAGATATCTCAGCACTTAAGGAAGAAATGTGAACTCTTCCTCTATATAATCTCGGTTCTTATGAAGCTGAGCATGATCTGTTACTTGCCTGTTGAGTTACATTCCACTAGGGAAAGTGCAGAAGAATGTGAAAGTTCTCCATTTAAGCTCATATTTTCAAAGATAAATTACATCCGTTTAGAACAAAACAAGTAAATAAACAAAAACATGCAAACATAAAAAACCCAACCCACAGACGACACACAAGACAGAAAAAAAAAAGACAATAAAATAAAAAAAAAAAAAAAAAAAAAAAAAAAAAAAAAAAAAAAAAAAAAAAAAAAAAAAAAAAAAAAAAAAAAAAAAAAAAAAAAAAAAAAAAAAAAAAAAAAAAAAAAAAAAAAAAAAAAACACACCCACAGAGAAAGAAACCCTAACTAACTGAATAAAATGAAAAGGAGAAATGTTCCAATGCCAACAGTACTCCAGCTGATCAAAGTACCCTAGGAATCAAGTGGCAGACCCAAAGGATATCATTTCTTTTTGTCTGGATATTAAGGACCAGAAAAAGGTTTGGGTACTTTTAGGAGGGTCCCAAGGGCTAATGTGATTCCCAAGACAGTCATCCGCATGGGCACACGGAGGCCAATGAAGTAGACTGCTAGAGTCCTTGACAATGGGTTGAGCAGAACCTGAGCAGAAACCTTCAGATGTATCAGGAGAGGAGGGTCTTTAAGGAATGACTACAGAGCTAGAGCCTTCAGTTTTTGTCCAGAAACAAAATCATCCAGCTCAGATTAGCAGGAACTACAGAAAGCATGTTGCTTTTAGTATCCAAAGAGTGACTACCTGCACAATAAATCCATCTTTGACAGGAGTATAGCTAGTGATAGCAGCAAGGATTAGTTTTAAGAGATGGGCTTTAGATTTAAAAAATTTGAAGAGTACTCTCCAGGTCTATCTCCCTCCCCTAAGACACAGTAGTCATTCAAATACATCATGTCACCCACATCCCACAGGTAACATGCAATATCCAGCTTTCAGATAAGGTATAACCCCAAGAAATCATCCTTCTTATGCAGAACACAAGTCCAGAAGTCAACAAAAAGAACTAATATACTATAGGTACTACTCAAACACAAATTTAGAAGAACCAGAGGAGGTCTCAGAAAAGATGAGGGAAAACAGATGCATGCACAAAACTGCATGAAAGATACCAGACTCAGGTTTAAAAAGCCTAAATGTGAAAGCAGCAATAGTGCACTCTTAAGATGATACTCAAAAACCCCCAAGGTTGTCGTCTCCTATTTTTATTGCCATGCTGAAAGATGAAGTAAGGTTGTCTGAGTGCACCTATAGAATAAGGAGTCTCCAGTGCAATCAGCTTACATATTAGAATATATGAATGTGCGTATTAACACTCAAACATAATTAATGATTTAAAGCGATATCTCATCTGGTAATTGTGTTAGTATACTAAGTCCTTCTGTAGCCAGGTCAGTATCAAATTTTATTGTATTCAACAACATCAGCCAGCAATGGCGTCTCTTGGGATTTTTTTGTTTATTTGTTTTGGGACATAAAACCAAGAGGACCCAAATAAAGCAGCAAAATTCACTTGAACTTCTAATAATAAAATACAAAAATTAAAAGTAACAAAGCCTGGTAGCCTTAGACAACAATGTCTGAAGCCTGTGAAAAAAACAAAGAGTACTAAGAAAATAATCAGACCTAATAGCTGTTCTCTGAATTAATCTAGTTTGGTAACTATTTCTAGTTTTCAAGGAGATATTACTAATAGAGAAGTTTTTGGGTTGGGAGCAGAGAAGGTACTAAACATAAAAAACGTAATCTAACAAGGCAAATTAATCTGCAGCTAAAGCTTCATAGTTGGAAAAAAAAACACCAAACCCAACTACATTTTTTTTTTCCCCATGAAGAATCTCAGAACACTGGGAAATACTGTTTTCTCCACCAAACAGAAAATGTGTTGTGTTTACCTTAACATGCCACTCAGGACGAGAATTCATGTAATCAAACAGCTTTTGATAATTCTGATACTGTTGATCCCATTCTGAGCTCTCAGTATAGCGGAAATCATCCCCTAGTGGGGCCAACACAACTTTAGTACGGAAAAGCTTTGACTTCTTTCTGTATTGATCTAAAATAATCCAAGCCCTTGAGGAGGAAAAAAAGAAAACACCAATTCAGAAACCAGAAGAAGAAAATTCGACATTTGGCAGAACAATTCTTAGTTATCAAGTTGTGCATTAGGGTGACTCATTTTGTAGTAAAAAGCTGGATGTAGTAAAAAGCTCCACGTGGGACACCATACTCAACCTACTATTGTTGCGAACACTGTGTTAATGAAATCCTTCAATAAGCTTATCAAGTTCCATCTCAAACAGTAGGGCAGTTTGGATCAACTTGTTCCCGTGCCAAAACTAGCCTACAGTTCAAATTATGTTTACCTGCTTTATATTTAGATAACAATCCTAATCCTCTCCAGCCCTTATTTAAAATAATAAGCAACCTTTTCTCATCCCCTCTGGTAATTTGCTTTGGTTCTTTACTACATATCTTCACGTCCTTGACAGAAAAACTGCCCATAAATTAATCTCTGAGGAATACCTACTAACTACTGGATGGGTAAACTATCAGTTCTGTCATTAAGCAATATATTAAATATAATATATTAAAAGTCACGAGTCTGATTTCTCCTCCTCTTCCAAGTTACAATTATTATCAACATCTTTAGAGCTGATCTCCTCTAATTAAAATTATGTAACTAATTTTCTGAGGAAATACAAACTTTAGTAACATATTTAAGAAAACAGCAATACAAATTACAGTGTTCTTAAGTTTCTTAACAGAAAATAGCAAAATCCAGATTCCAGTTAGTTTTTTGTTTCTACAGGTATTTTTCATAGATGCTCCAGCAAAATCAACTTTCAAACAATACTCTTCAAGATTTGCTATATAATGCAGATATTATGCAGAAATTCTAGTCCAATATATTTGAAACTCATATTTCTTTTGTCAAGGTTTACTTATTAATCAGATTACAGAAATACTGAATAGATACCAGGTTTGACTGTATTCTTGAGGGTGAAAAGGGCCACAACATTAACTTTAGTTAAGAATCTACAGAGTTCTACTGAGACTAAAATTTACACGACAAGTGGCTTCCCCCCATCCCCAGCAGTTCAGATTACTAAGTATTTGTTCTTTAATCAATCGTTTCCATGACTTTCAAAAGGTTGCAGATTTAAACACAGAAACTTCCTCACTGCACAGCTACCAGAACAATTGGCACAACACAAGACTTCACAATGCTTTCATCTAGACCACTTTAACTCAAGTTTTGCAAATGTAGTCTATGTTTAAAATTATACTTTATTTTTGAGTCTCTTGAAAAATACAGGTTACAGTTAACAGGATATTTGACTTTGACATCTCTCTTCAAAGTCCTCCTCTAATTTATTTCCACATCTACTGCAAACAATTCATCAGTACTGCTGTTCTCCCTTTCTACTCATAATTCTGAGTTATTTTATTAGAAATTTTTAAGGAGGCAGCATTATCTTCCTTCAATTGCAAACCAATTTCAATTGCAAAAACACCAAAGAAAATTAAATGTCTCATATATCCTCTTAGGTTTCTCTTAAATAACTTCCTAAATCATTACTTCAGAAAGGAGTGAGAAGGAGTCAGCAGAATGCCCCAGAGAGAATTCAGTGAAGACAAAAAATACTTCTAGGAAAAAAAAAATTCCACTGAGTCCCACGAATTTTTTATCCTTACTATTCCCCAATGAAACAGCATTAGATACATTTTGATGTATATTTATCCTGCCTGAGTAAAAATTTGAAAACGAAGGAGATCAGAGATGATAAATTTCTTGGTTTTAAGGTTTCACATTATCTCTGAATGACTGACACCTTTTAGAAACAAAGAAAACCCCTTTGTATCACAAGGGTGTTCTTTTAATGCAAAAAATTGAAGTATTTGGCTAAATACATATGAAAACAATATATCTGGTTTTGCCCCTTCCTAGGGGGGAAGTGGGGAGAAGCAATAGCCACAAAGAGTCCATGGGAAGCATAAGAAATTTTGCAGCAGCTATAGCAACTCCTATGTGACAGGTCTGATAGTGGTCATGGCTTCATTAGGGACTCACTCTTTGACACTCAAAAAATTTGCAACTAGAAAAATTCTTTCCTATTTCCACACATGGGAGAGAGAGGCATACACCAAAATGAACTCTGCTTCCACTAATAAAACAAGTCTTTCCCATTCAAGGGGGAAAGAAAAAAAGCAGGCAAAAACCAACAGCTTTTTTTTTTATTCCTAGTGTGCAAAGCTTCAGCATTTAAACATATGGATAAAGATGCAGCTTAAAATCAGGGCAAGTGCAATAGTAGTCTTTGCTGTTACAAAGTGTAATTAAACACGTACAGGTCTTTCATTAGGTTGCTGCTTCATTCCTTCTTATCAAGTGTCACAACTTAAAGTGGCAAGGCAATGAAAAATCCAACAATTACTAGCCTGAAGTTTTCAATTCAATATCTCTTGAATGTATACGTAAGGCCATAATAGCATTAAAATCAAAAGCAACAGTCCCAGCTGAGTATTCAAGATCTGGGTTTTATTAATTTTATCTTTAACACTGAAGAAAGGTCAGTGATCTAAACCTGGTCTCTAAATTAATCAACATTTTTCAAATCCATGTAGTGTAGATCTCCTGCATTTTTCCAGTCTTAAAGCAATCAGAGATGAGAGACAGATTAATTAGTGTTCTACAAACCTTTAACCTTGGAAAGCTTATGATGTAAAGACAGATTTTCCAATTACTTCTCACACCTCTCATCACAACTGTAAAATGTGTCATTACAGAGGTCAGATCAATGAAGTTTTTGGCTGTTTACAATAATCCAAATTTTCATAAAATGCAAGTAGTGTTTTACCATTCTCCAAAACATTACTTCCTGTGTTTTAGTGGATTTGTTCGAAAATGGACACTAGAAGTATGGTTCCAGTGTTCCAAATGTAAATAATCCAGGTTTCCAACTCAAAGACCATCTGTAAGTTTTACTTTTCCCTTAGGTATCATCTAGCATACTGCTGTTTCAGTTCTGTTAGACACCAAAATTGTTTTAATACACCAGAAGCTGATGCAAAAAGTTAAGTTTCAGAGACCATATTGAGATGATAATCTCTTCAACTTGATCATATGTTCTTTACATACCTGCCTAATTTATCTTATTCTTTGATATACTTTGACATGTGAAAGAACTGCTTCTTCTATAATATCTAATTTAGATTGTTACGCAAAGGTTGCATCTAGGAAGTGCAAGGATAAAATAAGATCTAATTGAAAAACAAGACTCTTTAAAAAACTATTCCAAGCAGACTTTACATTTTATTTTTAGCCTCTACATTTCAGGTATTTTTTAAAGAAGTTGTTGCTCGTCTGCAAATATGTGTCCCAGTTAATTAGAATACATAGTTAAGATTTTTCTTTCTATAACTTTGATTTAAAGACATATGAACTTTCCTTCATATTTTATAAGCATTGAGTGGGTCATAATGATTCTTCTACTTTTCTCTTGTCACCATCGGTTTTTATTTCTCTTTTTTTTTAAATTTCTTTTTCCTATCATCATTCCAATTTCTACCTTAAAATATGACAATTGTAATATATTCTGGTTTATTTTGGTTTTATCTTCAATAACACTTTGCAATTGAATTTTTAATGATAAAGTTTTCATAATGCTTTTCAGAAATTATCCTCATGAAAAAAAGAGATGCATACTTGACATGTAGACAGCCAATGCATCATCATTTTATCATTACTTTAAAACTTCAGCATCAAGGGTCAAATCTATCCTTAAATACATTTGTTATAGTCAGCAATTTGCACTAACTGTAAACATCTAAATAAATTTCTGACTCTGGAAATTTGGGATATTTTGAAGGTCTGAAGATAGCAACAGGACCATAGAATACAACCGTTTTCTGGAAAAACTTCTGTCAGTTTTAGTTTCCCTTTCTTTTCTTCTTTCTTTTTTATTTTCCCTCCCTTTCTTCCAAAATTGAATACTAGTTTTGTGAAACTATAAATTTGACTCTCAACCATGGCAAAACAACACAGTGTTTCTATTTGAAAACTAAAACTGAAGCTAACAGGATTTCCTATCATAAGACACAGGACTCAGATTCATTTAAGGTGTGCACTTCAGACAACCTAGGTGACAGGTTGCCAAGTTTTTCAAGCATATACCATTTAGGAAATATGCCCCTATTTGAAGTTACAGCATACTATACCATCCTGCCCCTGCCTGAAGTGTTCCATTTGCAGGGGACAGATCAAGTGTTCATAAAATTCACAAAACCTACAGTAAACCAGTAACATGACCGCAACCAGATGACTATGTTCAACTAAACAGATGACAATGTTCTGCCTGTAATTCAGAAACTGACTCATGTATCACAAATAGAGAAAATAAAAAAAAAAATCATTCTTTCCTAACTACAACCTTCCTTCAAATTTCACTGATAATTATGTTCTGAACTAAGGAGCAAACACTAGGTTAAGTAATAGGTAATATTTACCTATTACAAGCTTATTTTAAGAACTTGTACTGGTTTTGACTGGGGTAGAGTTAATTTATTTCACAGTAGCTGATATGGGTCTGTGATTTGGATCTGCACTGATATTTTAGATGATTTAGTTATTGCTGGGTAGGGCTTGCACTAAGCTAAGTCCTTTTCTGCTTCTCACTTTATCCCACCAACAAGCAGGCTCAGGGTGCACAAGGAGTTGGAAGGGGTTACCGTGGGGACAACTGACCCCAATGGACCAAAAGGATATTTAATAATTTATGATGTCATCCTCAATACATAAAGCCCAGGGAAGAAGGAGGAAGCAGGGGACGTTTGGAGTGATGTGTTTGTCTTTCCAAGTCACATGGGATGGAGCCCTGCTCTCCTGCAGACAGTTGAACACCTGCCTTCCCACTGGAAGCAGAGAAGTAGCTGCTTGGTTTGCTCCGCATGTATTTGCAGTTTTTCCTTCCTCTATTAAACAGTCTTTACCTCAACCAACAAGTTTTCTCACTTTTACTCTTCTGGTTCTCTCCCCCAAACCCGCCATGGGGCCAGTGAATGAGCGAATACACAAAGCTGAGCTGTTAAAACACAGCAGAACTATATAAATTCATCAAGCTATGCTACATATCATTTTTGAACAGCATAATTATGGGGGGTTTTAAATTTATTCCCTTGGGGAATACATAAAAACTGTACCTGTGTTGAACATTTCCAGCATGAATGGCTTCTGGTGGAACTCTCCAAGGGCAACTTACTCTTCCCCCAGGAAGTCGTTTGAAATCAAACTGGCAGCAGATTTTCGGGTCCGGACCACACGTATGAGGAACATCATAGCTATAGAAAGGCATCATATGACAAAGAATATCTGTACTGGATCCCAAATCTGGAATTAAATACACAGAGTACACTTTTAAAATAAACCCTATCAGATTTGCCAAAACTAAATTAATTCCACGTTCTTAATCTAAGAACTGCCCTAAAAACATCAGATCAAGACAATTTCTTATACAACTTCTTATTTTGATATATCTATACCTTGAGTCTACCTTGGTGGGTACCTTATATACATATATAAGGATGATAAACCCACAAATTCAACCAAGATGGGGATATTATAATCAAGCACGAGCTGATTGCAAAAGATGACAACAAAATGTTAGGGTTTTTTTACCCAGATAAAACTAATGATTTTCAGAATTTTGGAGGTAACCAAGCACATCTTTAATACTTTGAGTGAATCAAAGCAACAACTGAAAAATAAAATCAAAAAAAGCAAAGCAAAGAAAAAACCATACCAAAAGCCAATCACCCTGCTGTCATTACCTCATTAGCAGAACATCTGAATTAGTAGAAATGTTCCTTCTCCTACACTTTTATAGAAGGAAATAAAGGCGTAGGAGGAAGGGAAAAAAATGAAAGCAGAAAAAGAATTTCCCACTAGTACTTTTTTTTTTATGCATACTTGCAAGGAACATGAAAGAATGAAAATAAGAGAAAGTAAAAGCACAAATGAAAATGAAGAAAAACGATCAGAGAAACAATAGCAATAATACTGGGTTTTAACACCTTTCCTACCTCGCAGGTATTCTCATTCCCTTTCTTTTATTAAGAAAACAAGGGGGTAGGAGGGAAGGAAAAGAAAAAGCTAGATGAAAAGGTTTGGATTTTTTTTTTTAATCAGAACAGCAAGTTTAAAATTTTTAAGTTTAGACTTACTCCTCTAAGCCTATTCTGTAAAAATTTCCATAGTATTTTTTCAAGTTCTCATTGCATTTTATTTGAGTAAATTAAAAAAAATTAATTGATATAAAGGAAAAACATATACCCCAGTTCTGTCTCCAAAAAAATTCTAGTGTCTTTTGTGTCGCAAAATATTTTTTAACTGAGTAATGAACTCTCTGTATAAGCATATTGGAAAATCCTGTGCGTTTCAGAAGGTAAGCCATTGTTGGTGAATGCCCGAAAGGATCAACTGCCCAGCCAGACTTTGGTTTTACTCCTGTTGACATAAGAAAAAAGCAAAAAGGAGAGGAAGTTTTACTTTTGCCTCAAAGAAAGCTATACAAATATATTCAAATCAGAGCACTAAAGATAATATTTCCAAGAAGATATACAGTTTACTATTAAGCCTCCTGCAGACACCCCCAGAAATTAACAAGATAGAATTAAACAGATAACCAATTAAACAAACAAATAAACAAATCAAATATCTTATAAGCAAAACATTCTAACTAAATAGAAATATGCAGCATTGGTACTCCTTGTTGCTACACTATTTCAATTGTGCATTGAACATCTTTACTTGGAATCATACTGAAACACATCTCCCTTTCCACTTTAAATCACTTACAGATGTTACAATTGAGAAAGAAAGCTGAAGGAAAATGAACAGATGCAGATGGATTGATGCTGTAGCTTGTCAAAATTTCACTGTTATTTAAATAACATTAATGTTTTTTGGCTCCGGAAATAACTTTTCTTTTGATTTATTATTTGGTGGTCAATAGAATCACATTAATTAATACTCTCTTTTCTCTGAACTTCACATAGTAAATAAAGAACCTACTAACTCTTGGTTCTTCAGCATGATTCCTTTGGCAATTTTTACTGTTTTTTGAAAAAAGAAACAAAACAGTAAAGAATGCAATACCCTTGCATTAGGTCTTTCCTCCCCCATCCAATTATGTCAAGCTGTGTTTATGGAAATTGCAACCTAAGAAAAATGGTGGAACAGCTTTCCAAAATAATTTCAGTTAATTGTGTGAAATAATGTTATTATTAAAATCACTGTACAAATATTTTCTATATACAAAGAGTTATCTCTACTTATGGAATGAAACAAAAAATCCACCCCAAAGCCAATAAAACAGTTCAGTCAATGTAACTGCAGTCAGTAATCCCTCCAAGTTGCAATAGCAGCATTTTTATTTTTCAAAGTAAGAACAATTCTAACATTACAATCAGTTTAGGGTTTATAACTACTACTACTACTACCACTGCTACATCTGAACTTCATATTTACTTTTTTAAAAAGCTTTACGTAAGAGAACCCAATGAATAAGAAAGTCTGCAGAATAGATCCCAACACATGAAGGAAATTTAAATTTTTCACTCATTTTAAGACCTTTGTCATGATTTTCAAAACTGTGAAATGGCAATTGGAAACTGTTAGTGAGACAGAAATGGTTTCTAAAACTCAGCATGATCTAGTGTTAATATTTTGTTATGCCACTATTCTATGCATATCTTACACTGATCAAGAAAAAATGTTCTGAACAAAATTGTTCAAATGCCCTTTGCCCAGGAACTTCTCTCTGCAATCACAAATTGCAAATACTGGACTCCTGTAAGTGGTCTGATTTATTGTTTCAGGAAAGTAAAGCAAAGACAGCATTCTAAACCACTCAAAAAAAAAAAAAAAAAAAAAAAAAAAAAAAAAAAAAAAAAAAAAAAAAAAAAAAAAAAAAAAAAAAAAAAAAAAAAAAAAAAAAAAAAAAAAAAAAAAAAAAAAAAAAAAAAAAAAAAAAAAAGAAACCACACCAGACTTCCTGTATTAGTGTAGTCAAATTTTAGATCAATATACATACCAAGGTTCTTTTCTAGCCACTGATGTCCTTCTATTAGTTGGTCAATTATAGAAAAATAATGAGCAGAGGCTTCATCAGCCATGACCCATCCTCCTGTTACTATTTCAAATTGTCCATCTTTTATTAACCTGAAAAATATGTAAATTTTGTTCAGAATCTTCCATATGAAAACACACTCTTAAAAGCAACTTCTGTATACCCAACATTTATTTACCAGTGAGGTGATGCCAAAACCTAAATTGCTTGTACTACTTCCATCATTGGATTACATTTCTTTAATCAAATGGGGAATAATGAATAGTTGAACAATGACATTTTAATGCCTCTGTGCAATGAAAACCACCTCTACTGCATGTACCATATTAGATACCTTTTTTTTTAAATCAGGAAGAACATTGTTTCCTGTAGATCACATTACAAAAATGTATGTGCCACACTACTGAAGATTAATTGAGCAAGATACCCAGATACTGCACATTTCAAGTATTACTACTATCTCCCCATCTTTGATTTAACATTCTTTTTAGAGTTTTAGAAAGCCGATAGATCTTTGAGGTTTATTGTCTCTATAAAGGCTTCACACTATCTCACTCATTAAAATGCCTTCTTGAAACAGATCACAGGATAATCCAGTTTCTCTACTGTCAGTGAACATAATGACCACATTTCCAACATCAGGTTGTCCTTACAGTTTCAGCACTTACACTGTACACTAGCATATAAATCTTTAATGAATTCAAGAAAGAAATACAGTGAACTTATCAAAACTTTGTCACATCATAGGTAATACCCATAAGAGTAATGAAAAACATAAGTAAAAAATAATCTCATGGGTACTTCTTTAAGTTAGAGCAGCTTAACCAATACCTGACTCCTCTGAAGAGAGGACACAGTTACCTAGTCTCTATCATTTACTGTTTCTGTGTTACAAGAGATCTCTTTAATGTCAAAAAACAACAGCCATGCTATAACATATAGCTGTGCTATAACACATGCATTGTACATAAATTTTTAATGACTAGTTTTCTATGTAATTCCCCAGATTTCCAGCATTACCTAACCTTTACAGTTGTGAAGATCTAACAGACTTGCAGTATACTGCAACACATGCATCTGGAAGCAGGGCACGAGAAGGAGGGCATCACAAAGATGAGCCAAGAACTGTTAGATTCTGTCTTAAAGCAAAATAAAAAAAAAAAATCCCCACTTCCTGAAAACTCCAAACTAGATCTTTACTTCAAGTTTATCCAAGAAGCCTGCTTTCTTGTCTCAATATCTAGGCAAATCTTTTACTTCTTTATAACTTTACCATTATAGCAGCTGAATGTTTATAAAAGACTCCACATATTTAAAAACAAACAAAAATCTCATTTCATGATTATTAACATAATTGTTATAACTTAAGGAAAAAATACATAAACAGCTAGTATGAAAGATCATATTTATTCCATGGTCAATACTTTCATGTGACTGCAAATAGAGTTTGTAATGACAAATCCATTACAACTTGAATGATATCTTCATGGTTGTTCATGGAAACAGTCAGTCAAATTTTTAAGCAACTCAGTAATTTGTCTTCAATTCTCTGAACAGATTTCTATTTTGTAACTGGAAAAAACCCAAACCAAGTCCAAAAAGTCAGAACTGAAGCAGACAACTGTTCTAGCAATTCTCCATCAGAGCAAACTGAAATATCAAGTTTACATTGTAGTCAAATACATAAATCTTATAGCATGATACATGGAAGATAAGATATAGTTCCGTGTTCAAACCTTTTAACAGTATCCTTTTTTTGGCTATCTATTCCGTCCCACCATTTTGAAAAGTAGGAAATCTCAGACCATATAAACTTCCTTCGATTGTCTTCTTGCAGTTTTATAACCATGTTATTTAAAATATGCTGTGTCTGATCTCTAAAGTAATCATCAAAAGTCTTCAGCCAACCTAAGAAAAAGAAAAAATGAAATCAAAGTTGCTAACTTCATAGGAGTATACAGAGAAATGGAGACTGTCTTAAATAGTTGTTAATGTGAGTGCTAGAAAGGCAAAGTTACTGATGTTACCAATAATTAATAAAGTGTTAAAAAGTAGTATTTAGTCCTGAGAGGTGTCCATACACTTCCACAAGGGTGGAGAGACCAAGAGAAAAATCTACTTTAGTCACTTTCAATAACATTTAAGTGCTGTTTATACTAGGTCTGTAGCCACACTGAGAAAAAAATACTCTGATCTGGTACACATATATTACAAAGCTCACAAATCTCAAGTCATTACCAAAATCATCACTGCTGGCAGAGCAATAGATGCTAGAGGTGTCTTTCAACTCCTTGGGTCATAGCTGAACATCATCTTTCAAATCCAGCTGTGCTGGTTGACAATCTCACTGTTCCTGAGTGAGTTCTCCTCTCTGGATTTTACCTGCCCAATCCACTTCAGGCAGTCACAAGAAACTGCTGTTGAAGCATGTGACAGCTGGCATAATGGGTTTGCCAGTACAGCAGGTTGTATGCTCACTCCTTAATCTGCTCCAGAAAGAAATGCCATCTATCTGATGGTCCTAGTATCACACAACAACCGAACCTCTCTCCATGGTTTGAGATTAACCTGCACTGGGTGAGTTCTCCCCAGATCAGACACCCTGCTAAGGTGCTCAGACACCCTGCTAAGGTGCTCAAATCTTCCTCAACTGCCAGCAACTAAAAGACAATTATGCCATGACCGATCAAAAGTGTGAAGGGGACCCATTCTACAAAAGTATGAAGGGAACTCCTTCTCAAAGCTTATTTTCCAGTAATAGGTAAACACAGTAGCTACTGTAGGGAGAAACATAAAGACTCCATGTCTGCAGGTCATGATTAAACTCATATGAAAGAAATTAACCCAGATTAAGAAGAACTTAGTGTTTCGGAGCAACAGCACATTCAGTCATCCTCCCTCAAAAAAAGAACATGGAATATAGACCGACCACCTTCCCTATGGATTCTGTTTCTTAGATTCATAGAATGGCGTGGATTGGAAAGGACTACCTAGTTTCTAAACCCCCCACCACAAGCACGGATGCCACCCACTAGATAAGATTATTTCAAGGCAGTTTCTTTGCCTTTGAGCTGCATATTCTCACTAGCATAACTGGTTACATGAAAAGTTAAAGTAGCCTCAAACAAGAAAACATAAAACGTAATGAGAATTGAGAGCCTCTGCAGCTAATATCTTTACTGACCCCATTTCTTAGTAAATATCTTTTACACATTGTTACACTATAGGTTCATGATGCCTTAAGGTTTTTTTTCCAGAATGCATTTCCTTTGCACAATGCTTTTTTAGTCCTCTGGGAAAGGAATAATGTAACCGTTAGCTATACAAGAGATTTCAGATGTTTGTTACAGACAAATTTTCCCTCTTTCAAGTGCAGTTTCATACTGCACTTCCTAGACAATTGCACAGAAATGTCCTTACCAAAAACAGTATCAAGTCAGGAGATTTCTACGATAACACTCTTTCCAAAAACAAACAATAACCAGTCTCACACAATCACCTTTGGTGAAGGAACATTTACATTTACCAGGATTATCTCTCAGTTTAAATCCATTAGGTACCAACAGAGAAGCCTACCTGCTGAGAGAGATTTAGATTGTATGTGTGATGAGAGGCAGATTTCTTGCTTTTAGTTGTTGCTGGTATATTGATAGATACAATTTTATAGTAAAGGCATGAAGAATTTACATATTAAGAAGGAAGACTTAGGAACAAAAACCTGACACCAGCAAGGAAGTCGGCTCTTAAATGCGACTGACAACAGCATTAAGACTTCAGACAAGCCCTCGTGAACAACACATGCCGGGAAAGAACTGCAACAGAAAGATGGGAGGCAGCTCCCATAACTTCAAAGAATTCTTCAAGCCCTGTTATTGAAGGGCCAGTCACGAGGAGGACTTCTCTGAGACATGAAAGAATAAGTATCTTACTATAGATTTTACTCATTACTCCCTCCAAGATAGATGTACAAATGCATATAAAAATATATCTCTTAAGCTATGTTCACTATGGCCTGTGCTTGGAAGAAGGCCAGAGCAATGCTGGAAAGGGAAAAACAGATTAAACGTCCTTACACAGAGCTCTCAGGTGCACCAAGAGGCATCATTTGTTTGTAAAATTAAGAAATAGACACATTACTTACATACTTCCTAGGTAAATAGGAAATTCCTACTGGGAAAGTACAGAAAATTCGATGATTGACAACACAAAAAGTTAAAGAGGAAAAGGTGTTGTTGGGGCTACCTCTGGCTACGGAGGAGTATTTATGCTTCATCTGTCTTAGAAATTTAGTAATTTTGGTGACTCACAGACTTTTATAGTGGGAGGGTGCATGGTTTTGATTGAGCTTTTTTCATTGGGACTTTTTGGTTGGTATTTTTGGTGCTGTGATTGTTGTTTGCTTGGGACTTCTTGTTTTTTGGTTGGTTTATTGCTATGGGGGTGTTTGTTTGGGTTTTTTTACTTGTTTGCTTGGGGGCTTTGAGGTGGGGTTTTTTTGTTAGTTTTTTTTTTTTTTGGTTGGTTGGGCTTTCTAAACACAGACAACCCAAACTTGATAGAGAAGAATGCCACAGAGAGGGTCTCTGGACCTGGAGAAAACTTTCTGACCTTCCAAAAGCTAGTATAATATTTCAAGCATCATGGCAAATATATAGTGAAGCTCAAGGCATTTCTCAACTTTTGTCCCAATTTGGAGGTTTATAAGAGATGAGTCCATGTTCTCAACTATTCTGCTATTTTGAGGACAGTTTTCACTGTTCTCAATAGCAGAACAGAAGCAACATAGAGCTGTTCAGTCCCCTAGTCTCAAAAGACACATATCTAAAAATCCAGAGATTCTGAAGAAGTCTCCTCCAGCACAATCTGATATTGAGAGCCTTTGCTACTGGCCAGCTGAGCCAACAACAGCTTCCAGACTATGTGCCCTGTTTGGCACACAGTGAGGAGGACTGTAATTTGTAATGACAGATGGTAGTATCTACCAAAATAATCACAGAATCATGTGGGTTGGAAAGGGCCTCCAAGAAAATCAAGTCCAACCACTGTGTTCACCACTAAACTATGTCCCTCAGTGACACATTCACATGCTTTTCTGAACACTTCTGCAATTCCACCACTTCTCTGGGCAACCTGCTCCAACGTTCAACAACCCTTTCAGTGAAGAATTTTTTCCTAATATCCAATCTAAACCTACCCTGGTACAACTTGACTCCATCTACTCTTGTTACCTGGGAGAAGAGACTGCCCCCCATCTGGCTACACCCTCCTCTCAGGTAGTTGTAGTAAGTGATACGGTTCCCTTGGGCCTCCTTTTCTCCAGGCTAAGCACCCCCAGCTCCCTCAGCTGCTCCTCATCAGACTTATGCTCCAGACCCTTCCTCAGCTCTATTGCCCTTCTCCGGACTCACTCCAGCACCTCAGTTTCTTTCTTGTAGTGAGGGGCCCAAAAGCAATTACAGAATTAGAGTTGTGGCCTCACCAGTGCCCAGTAGAGGTGCATGGTTCCTGCCCTGGTCTTGCTGGCCACATTATTACCGATCCAAGCCAGGATGCCCTTGGCCTTCTTGGCCACCTGGACACATTCCTGCCTCATGTTCAGCCACTGTCAAACAGCACCCCCAGGTCCTTTTCCCCGAGCACCTTTGCAGCCACTCTGCCCCCAGCCCGCAGCGCTGCAGGGGATTGTCAGGATCCAACAGCAGGATCCAGAACTTCATCTTGTTGAACCTCATACAACTGACCTTGGTCCATCAATCCAGCCTGTCCAGTTGTCTCTGTAGAACAATAATCTTGATGTGACAAGAGGTTCAGTAAACTCAAATTTCTCAGATTCCTCAGAATGAATATTCAGTGAGTCACTTTTGGGAAACAAAAGTGGTGCTACAGGATGAACCAAGTACTACTAAGGTACGCAGTGCTAAAGCTTGTCATATGCAAAAGATGTTGGCTATGAAACCTACCACAGCTGATTGCAGGAGGCATGACTCAAAGATAGATGTGAAGTAGAAAGCGAGAAGGCTGGAAGTTAGAGAGCCAAAGGTTAGCTCCAACGAGTCTTTCCATAATGGCAACAGAAACTGGTAAATTCCATATAAGTACTGATGAGACAGACCAGGCACCACAGAGGAAATCAGCCCAATGCATTCTGTACTGAAAGACAGTTACTAATGGTGTGTAAATCAACTAAAAATAAAATAATTTTTAAAAAAATTTAAATTACTAGGACCTGTAGAAAAAGTGTCTGTAGAAATAAAATGTGCAAAAAAAAAAAAAAAATATCAGTGCCAGGAGACTGAGTCCCTACTGAATTTCATGACTTGAATAGACACTGGTAAAGTTTTCTGTTTTCCTCAGGATATTCCCCTGCAGCTCCCAAGCATCACGCTCTTGACAAATTGCCTCATCCTACACTGTGCACAGGGTCTTTGTTCAATTCAGCTAAAGTTATTCCAGAAGGACGGATGTGACACCAGACCAGGTAACTGGTCTCTAGCAGGATGCCAACAGCCTCAATAGAATATTGTCCTACCAACTTCAGCAGAAAGGACACAGGTAATCTCCAAAGCCCTTTCTAAGGAGAACCAAGAGAATGAGAAGTTCTGTATATTCCTCTGGGATTGCTTTGGACTCATTAGGTATCTGTACAGAGTTGCTTCTTTCTAGGAAAGTTTTTAGAAGAACTACAACCAGAGAGAAAATAAATGCACAGAGGTTTCAAGACAGTTCTACAGATAGGCAGTTCAAACTTCACTTAATACTGTGAATATTTTCTTTATACTATATCCATACTTTGTTAATTTAGCTGTCATAACTGGACAATACACTGCCTCCAAATTCCAGTGTTCATTTTCTTTGAAAATGCTAGATATGAACAGATAAAAACCACTTATGTTCAAACAACAAACAAAATTGTTAGAGATACACAATAGTAAAATTTAATATCACTGAAGTTGTGGCTTTCTACAATAACAACGACTAGCTTCTCATGTTCAGTGTATATGTATCAGGACTATACTGTACCAGTATATTTCACTGCTTTTTGGTAAATTTGACAGTAATTTCAAAAAAAGGGAACATTTCTCTATTTTATAACATCGAGTTAAGATGAAGAAGTGAAATTAGGTAGGTATACCTAGTTTTCTATTTAAATCTAGACATTGTATTATCCAGCTGGAGGTTGGAGGTGTGCACAAAACAGTAAAGGAAGTGTTACAGTCAGAAACTTGAGATTTACCATCGTCACATCTTCCAAAAGCATAGTTCTTTAGCGCAGGCTAAGGGTTACATATCTGTGACAGTGCAAAAGTCAAAATAAGAACAGCAAATAATGAAGCACTGAATAAACTGAATGGGTTACCAGAAGGATGAACACAGAAAATTCGTATTACATTCCAATATCAACAATGAAGTTCTACTCTGGTTACTAAATAAGTAGATGTACAATTTGTATCATAACAGTTGTCATTAGCACCAGAATTATACATCTGTTTAAGATAGATAGATTTAATCTAACATATTAACTAATATACTTCAAAAAAAACCCAAACCTTGACAAAAATGGCAATATATTTCCTTAATTCAAAAGGCTCTAGGTAGTCAAATCAACCAAGTTAAAATATTACCTGGGTCATTATGGGAGTGAGGCACAACAAAAACTTGAAGTGGTTCACTGTCCCATTCATTTTCATTGTATGTGATATCAAATCCTTGTTTCCAAACGCCACCATCTGGATTATCAAAAGGAAGAATGTCATAGACATCCAGCATCTAAAAAAAAAAAAACAAAACCCAAGGCATATAAAACATGAATTCAGAAAAACAGTTCTGCTATTAAAAACCAAAGCTGTTTTCAATGAAAATGGATGAGTTTGTTCATTACAGAGGGAGAGATAACGTGCCAAATGAATAGAAAAATGACAAATGAGAGCAACTTTCAAGTCACACCAGGACACCCAAGACACAGCTGACAGGAAGAGGAGCATTTGGCAGGCTCTATTCTGAGGAAACTGAAATTGATTAGACAAACAGTAGGATTAAGAGCCTTAAAACACTTTTAAAAATTATGGCAGCTCACAATGGCTGGGGCAGGAGGGTATGAAGGACTATGCGGAAAAGCACAGCACACTAAATAGGAATGCAGAAAATGAAGAAAACAAGCAATAAACAAGCAGTAAGAAGGAATAACAGCATGAGAGAGATCAAGGCAAAAGTCAAGCTCAGAAAAGGGAACTGAAAAAAACTACCAAGAAAAAAACATTCATAACTATACCCAGGGCCTGTAACAAAGCTCCTTGTATATCTACTCTTGCCCAGTACAATAATGGTACAAGAGAGGACATATTTAATTTTTCAATGCAAATGAGAAGGTTAAAGGTAAATAAAGCAACTGTAGAGTAACTTTAACAAGTTCCTATGAAATTTAGGGAACACCACACAGCACCAAACAGAGCCTACTAATGTCAGTTTTTTAGGGTTTGGGTTTGTTTTTTTTTTTTTTTTTTTGTTAGCTGTGGTCTACTTTTAAGAAAGAAGAAAAGATATAAGCATGAGCTGTCACTGGACAAGCCTTTTCCTGACATTCTAATTAAAAAACTAAACTTTAATTAGTTCTAACTCTGTGTTAGAATATGATTAGTCACCTGACAAAATTTCTAGAACAAACAATTTCTCTCCACAACAAAAGCCTGAATGAGTCATTTACTACTTTAACATCACAGAAGTTAAAACTTTCCAGTGGTAAGCTGGTTTCTGTCCTGCTAGGAAACTTTAAAAAACTACACACATCTGAAACAACATCTGACTAAAGAAGGTAAGGCCTTCCTTGTGATGGTTGACTTTGGCCCCCATCCAGCTGCTCTCTCACACTTCCTCATCAACAGGACCAGGGGAGAAATAAGATTAAAATATGATCTGTGAAGATAAAAACACGGATAACACGGTTTGGGATTTCAGGGGTCTTCTCAGACCAGCGGGTTCACTGCTGAGCTGCAGTTTCTCTCATTGTGCCCGGTGGTGTATCGGCCGAGCTCAGAGGTCAAATCACACAGAGATACCAGCTGTGGGTGCTAAAGCTGATCTAACTTTATTTTACAAAATGGAGGGGGTTTATATGCAGTTAAGGAAGGTTCTGGAAAAAGGGGATAGGTATATATATAAATTTGGACAGGGCATTGGATAGGATTTAAGATTGATTTACTTAATAGGGGGGATACATGCACCTTCAGATAACTACTAAGTTCTTAACTAGGAAAACTACAAATCTCTAACTGGACATTGGCCAATCAGAGAAACCTATTCTCCCCCATGAAAGAGGGAGAGCTCACAATCTAAAGTCTGTTTGTCTGATGCTGTCTGGTCTATGTTGCCGGACAGTGCTTCCTTCCACCTTCTAAACTCCTGTTCCTCATCCAGGTTACTCCCAACACAGGGAGATCACTTACCAATTATCACCACAGAAAAAAAAAAAAAAAAGACCTGCCTTCAGGAACAGTAAATTAATTTATTGACAAAAAAAATAGAATTGGATAGTGAGACGTCAATTCCTATTGTTTCCTATCAGTCATTCCTTCCTTCTTGCACTTTTTTGCCTGCTCCAGCATGGGGTCCCTTCCACAAGCTACAGTACTTCAGGAACTCCTCCAGTATGGGTCTCTTAAGGGCTCTAGTTCCTCATGGAACTATCTACCTGCTCTGGCATGGGGTCCTCCACAAATTTCAAGAGAATACTTACTCCACTGTAAGTATTCTCTCACCTGCTCCAGTGACTAGAATACCTTCTCTGCTTCCTTCATCAAACACCTTGGGGTCCACAGGTTGTTTCTCTCCCTTGTTTAACCTTAAACCAGACTGACATGCAACATTTTCCCCTTCTTAAAACACACTCTCCCAGAGGTAGCACCACCCTTTGCTGATGGAGGGTTTGGTTGTATCCTGTGCTGGGTCTCTTTTGTTGCTGCCAAGAACAGCTCCAGAGCAGCATTGGCCTTTCCTTATGCACATCACCCCTGGAGCCCCTCACTACCAACACCTGGACATCTGCACCCAGAGCATTCCACCATCACATCCATGAAACACTAAAGAAGAGTCTATAATATTTTATAGACATATATACATATATTATATACATTCATCACATACTCTTCACAATCTCCACTTATATTTACAAAAAAACATTTTGGACACCAAAATCAAAATGACATAAGAACACCGAAAAAGTGGAAATATTTTACACGTACCCACACACAAGGTAAAATTCAACTCCTTGTACTTTTACCTCACAACAACAACAAAAGACCTTTGGACAATATTGATTAATGCAAAACACAGGCGCAATACTTGCATAACTGGGCATTCTGCACTGTCAGCCTAAAGGTCCCAAATAAGGGTTATGTTGAAATTAGCCTAATGGTATATTTTCTAAATACACTATTTTAGGTTAATTCATATTTTATATAAATAATATATATCTAATAATAGATAATATATATAATATCTATACTTACATATATATGATATATATAATTATATGCTATTATTATATATTTTCACAGTATGGTATCTTCTAAAATCTCACTTTGAGGAGGAAGAGCATTTTTTCTCTGCAATGCATGGTTCTGAAGAAAATGGAAGTGCATATTCTATAAATTTGCCAGTTAACAATTAATGATCTGAAAATTTATAAACTCTTTGAACATTTCAACCATGAAAATGTATTTGTTTAAAAAGCAGTAATTTATGGAACTCCACACTTTCCTATGAGTTTTTCTCATGGACGGAGTCTGAATTTTACAAGGAACTTTCTGCAGTCTGCAAGATAGCAATTTTTACAGTCCATAACATAGATAATTTTTCCCCTAACATCTACAACCTTAGAGTTATCTCAAACCATGCTTATATGACTCTGAGCTCAAGAGATGGAAACTGCAATTCAGAAAATAGGTCTTGGAATCTTAATCAACAAGTTGTATAAAAACTGCTTGAATTACCTGACCCAACCTATCATCTAGAGGTTTTTGCTGCCTGCCAGGGGCCTGGATCCTGCATACTGTAGTGGAACTGTTGAAGCTTGTCCAATTCAGTGACTACTAGCCCTTGTTGTTCTTCCATGTAGATACCAATGATACTGCCAGAGGCAACCCAGACTGCATAAAAAGTGACTGCAGAGTTCTGTGAGTAGTAATGAAGGTCACAGAGGCCCAGGAGGTGTACTCTTCTATCCCAGCAGGGAGGGTCAGGTGTGAGAGGAAGATACTGATAGTACAGATCACTAGTTGGCCTCAGAGCTGGTGTTTGAAACACGCTTCAGGATTCCATGATCATGGGACCCTGTTTGCATATCTCTGTTTGCTTAGAAGAGATGAGATCCAACTCACTAAGTGCACAGAGATATTTTTGCCAGAAGGATGGCTGACCTATTAAGGACAACTTCTAGCTAAGAATAAAGGGGAGACAGCAGCCCTGTGGGGGAACAATGGTCAGGAACAATGTGACATGAAAGAATTTTAAAAATATATCATAATTTCAGAAATCAAGAAAACAAGGCTTAAACACGGTCACTTCTAACATTTGTAGGTGAGCAAGCAAGTGCCTGCACAATTGTACACAATTACAGAGAAATCCCCAAAACTCTTTCTGGGAAACAGCATGCTGGGGTGGTTCACTGAAGTACACTAAAGGAAATAAACATAATGAGTTAAGAGAGCAGGGTGCAGTTGCAAGCCTATGATCTTATGATAATGGTGACATGGTGGGATGACTCTAATGACTGTAAAGTTGCATTGGAAGGACTCAAGATTCTGAGGAAAGACAGGCCAGAAAGACAAGGAGGGAGCATTGGCTTTTATGTGAGAGAGGACATTTATGTGAGAGAGGAGCTGATGTGCAGGGAGCTCTGCCTGTGGGTTTGAAGTTGGAAAGGGATAAAACCAGGTTTGCTAGAGATAAGCCTGAGCACAGCACTCCGAAGTTTGAGGGTCAGTGTGCTAGCCAGGCCCTTCAGTCTGCCATCTCCTTGGAGTGGAGGATGGAGATCCACGTGACAGCAAAAACACAAGGGCAGAAACTACAGAAGTCCCTAAGAATGGTCACATACAAATTAGAGCTTCCCCCAAAAAAAAAGCTGGCAGTAACAATAGCCCAACTGAAATGCATCTACACCAATGAACACAATATGGGAAACAAACAGAAGCTGGAAGCAATTGTGCAGCAGGAAAACTATGACGTAGTTGCTGTCACAGAAACATGGTGGGATGACTCACCCAACAGGAATGCTGCAATGGATTGTTATTACCTCTTAAGAAGGGATAGACAAGGAAGGAGAGGCAGTGGAGTAGCCCTGTATGTGAGTGAGTGTTTTGACTGTCCAGAGCTTTACGATGATGACAATACCACTGAGTGTTTATAGGCAAGAATAAGTGGGAAAGCCAAGAAGACCTGCCTACCATGGTGACAGTCTGTTATAGGCTACACAGGCAGGATGATGAGGCAGATAAAATATTCTCCAAGTAGAAGTCTTAAAACTGCTAGCCATTGTTCTCATGGGGGACTCATGGAGTTAACAGATGTGTGCTAGAAATACAACACAATGGAGACAAATCAATTTAGGAGGTTCCTGGAGAATATGGAAGACAACTTCCTGACACAGCTGGTGAGAGACTGGTCCATCCAGCTAGGGGATGGACCCGCAGGACCTGCTGTTTGTGAACTGGTGTTGTGGTGGTCAGAAGCCATCTTGGCCTCAGTGATCAACCAAGGAGAGTTTTTAACTC